GATGGATCCTCGTGGATCCTGTGGTTCCTGCTGGATCCTATTGGATTGTGATGGATCCTCATGGATCCTGTGGTTCTTGCTGGATCCTCATGGATCCTAGGATCCATGAGGCACCGCTTTTTCCCCCTTGGAGAAATCCAATACCCGTCACAGACCGTGACAGAGAAATCGAGTACCCATCACAGACCATGACAGAGAAATCCAGTACCCATCACAGACCGTGACAGAGAAACCTAGTACTCGTCACAGACCGTGACAGAGGGGTTCCAAAGACCATCGCTGACTATGACAGAGGGGCTCCAAAGACCATCACAGACCGTGACAGAGAAAATTCATACCCATCATAGACCGTGACAGAGAAATCCAATACCCGGCACAGACCGTGACAGAGAAATCCAGTACCCATCACAGACCGTGATAGAGGGGCTCCAAAGACCATCACAGACCGTGACAGAGAAAATCCAAATTCCTTCATTCACAATATAAAAGCTCCATCGTGTTTCACATTTTTAATCCCGCAGGGATTGCGCTGAAAGCTTTCTCATAAAGATCTTAGTTTTTAGCAAATTTTCAGTTAAGACTTAATTATATTACATTTATATTTATTATAGACTAATGATTATTACAGTAAAAGAATTTATAGCTCATATTATACGAAAAAGTGTTGAAAAAATGGTTTCACAAAAACTGATAGTACTCAGTTTCCTCGACCGAAGGAAGGGTCATATGAAATAAAATACGTTTGTGCGTACGTTTGTTTGCAGTCACGTGTACAGTCATGTGTCAGTGTATATACAAGAATTTTTGTATAAAGTTTGACCACAGGTAATCAGGGCCGGGAGATCCGTATCTGAGGTCGGATTTTTCATGCAGTCTTCCCATTGGCCAGCAAGTCGACCAATTGGAAATGCACTTTTTATTTTAAAAGCTTTGGGCCTTTTGATGACGCTTTACTGTAGGTCATTGAGGGTTCGGATTCTGAATCTGATATCAAATTTTACATGTGAGCCTATGGTTGGTTAGACAGCTGAAGAATTCGCTCGACTAAAAGGACAGTGATATGAAATAAAACGAGTTTATATCTTTGCTTGCTTGTTTGTTTGCAAGCACGTGCTCATTCACATGTACCAATACTAGGCAGATAGTCACTTTTTGAAAAACCTTGATAATAGTAAAATGGGCTAGGAGAATCCGAATCTGAAGTTAGTTTCTCAAAATTTTGAACTTGATTTTTTCAATCAAAGATAGATTTTTTCTAGAAAATAATGATGTTTATAAAGATTACGGAAAGTAAATCAGAGTCTAAGAATCCGATTCTTTCGTGGATTCTTAGAAATTTCTAGCTATAGTTTCATTATCAGGATAGGCTTTATAGTAAAAGAATGATTTCTCGCTGGAGTAAACATTGGGTAGTATAAAATAAAATGAGTTTGTGGTCTGTCAGTCATGGAAGGAGTTACGTTTTCAGCTGTGTTAGCGTGATTACCAGATTTATAATCTCAATCGCGTGGAACACATGAGTTTTTTTCATGGTGAGGGGTGTGATTGTGGATGTGGGGGTGGGTGTAGGTATGGGTGTGGGTATGAGTGTGGGTGTGGGAAAGAGAATAATCCCACACCCACACCCCGCACTCACACCCACTTGCACACTCTGATCTAAATAATTCCTAAGAGCGAAATAAATCCCGGGATTTATTTAAAAACACTAATGTATTTCATCACTGTAATAAATATCTGGGTTCTTTTCAAAACTGTAATAAATCTCAGTAAGGAAAAAAATTCTGGAATTTATCCTAATGATGCGAATAAGTCCCAAGAATGAAGTAAATCTCAGGATTTATTAAAAAAATTCTAATAAATCCCGAAAAACTAAGTCCCGAAAGCTGCTGGTTTTCAAAAAAGTCTTTCAGCTGAACATATGATAAACCATTGATAGATATCTATTAAAATGTATCTAAAAGAAAAACAAGGAGAAAAGGTTATACTTTTGTTAAAGATTATTTCAAATAAGCCAAAATATTTTATGATATCCTATGATACAATAATTAGGGTGGATATGTGAGCGTGAATGAGAATTATTATGTGTGTTGTTTACTATCACCAATCATCCATCTCAGCCAACACACGCCATCAACATTATCCTGTTTGATATCTTTCACGAGATCAATTTCAATGGTATGATATCCATCAGCAAAACAGTCAGTCGATCAATGACAATAAGAGATAACATCCTTGACCTGAATTGTTGTTCCTTCATTGAAAAACCATGTCTCCAGCATGAATGTCTTTCTTTTTTTAGTAGTATTGACCTCAAACACGCTACTTCTAGTAACCCATACCAATTAATAAGTAGTAAAAAAGCTTGATAACAACGAGAACAACATTCATTCTATTATGATTTTTCGATTTTATCGTTCTTTCGATGACGATGTATTCATTTTGTCGTCATTCTTTGATACAGACTCATATCTTCGGTACTCTTGGAACGAGAGATAAGAAATCCTGCAGTAATAAATTGCACACACACTCGTATAACAACCAACCAAAAGAATTATCAACGAAAGGAAGAAGTAAACTCTATCTAAGAAGAAGAACGAGTTTCTTCAAATCTTCTGTGTCCGACAAGTATCCATTTATTCATTGCTCTAACTTATTGCTATTCAACCACAACTATCCGTTTATAACGTACAGTATGAGTGTGAGTGAAAAGAAAGTAACACCCACGCTCATTTACAATATGAACGATACAAAAAATGTTCATTTAGTAGATCTCTGTTCGAAATTCAATAGTACCGATTTCGTTTTTTAGATCGAAGCACCTCATTCACAATTGTATTTTTGTATAAAAGCATAATCGTTGCAGTGTTTTAATGTTAGTCTTTGAAAAATTATGGAATTTTTTTCAAAAGTTTGATGCTATACTCATATTTACACCCACGCCCATATTTATCATTCTCCTTTTGAGTCAGGCCATCTGCTTGACTATCAATAAAACACATACATTGATCATTGAGAAGAAAAACTCGTCTTCAAAGAAAATTTTCGTTAAAATATCGTCGAATGGCGTTCATTCATTTGTGATTTAAGGTTAATGACGCATCACACATATAATTTGTTCATGTTACGTACAATCAATTAATCAATCAATATGGGTTGTGGTGCATCAGAAGTATCAAATTCTCTCGACAATCATCCTCATCCTAATACTAAAGCAACAGTAATGCCATCATCGTCCACTAATTTATTAAATCAGCGATTTGATTCAAATAGCATCATTCCAAAACGGGATCATCGAACCGATACACACGAAATTATTCAAAATTTTCTTTTGATTTGGCTTGATGAAAACATCGATGAATCTAGCGATGATCATCTCAATTCTATTAAACAACTACGACGAACAATCAATACCATTGAAATATTTCATGATACAAATGAATGTATTGGTTACATGTCACGAGTACAAAACGAAAAGTCGTTCCTCATTATTTCGGGAGCTCTATGTGAAAGTGTTGTGCCAGGTATTCATGATATGATACAACTGCATTCAATTTACGTCTTTTGTCGACAACAAGAAAGATATGAAGAATGGGCAAAAGACTACTCCAAAGTAAAAGGTATTTTCACTGAAATTACCTCAGTTTGCGACGCGGTTCGTCAATCTGCTCGACAATGTGACCAAGATGATATTGTGATTACTGGTGTATCGTTATTGAACCGAATCGAACCATCATTTATGTATACACAGCTCTTGAAAGAAATTATTCTTGAAATCGACTTCGACGAACAGAAAGAAATTAAAGATCTCGTCGAGTACGCTCGTCACGAAAAGGAGTACGCTAACAATAAAGAAGAATTGAAAATGATCGATGAATTTGCTGCGGACTATCAAACTAACGTCGACAAGAACAAGGCCATTCGGTGGTATAGTCGGCAATGTTTCACGTACCAATTAGTTAACAAAGCTCTACGCTCTCTACATGTGCACACGCTACTCAAAATGGGCTTTTTCATTCGTGACATTCATCAAAACATCGAGAACCTTCATGTAGAACAATCGAAAATAATCCATGGATCTACCACTACAACACTTTCCGTCTTTCGAGGTCAAACCATGAACAATTCGAATTTTCAACAGAATATAAAACAAGATGGACTCGTATCCTTTAATAATTTTTTATCTACAAGTGAGGATCGCCGTGTTGCCATTAGTTTTATTTCTCCGCTCGCTGACAACAGCAACAAAATCGGTGTTCTCTTCGAAATGATTATCGATCGATCGGTTTCATCGGCTCCATTCGCCCGCATCAGTGAATTTAGTTGCTTTTCGAACGAAAAAGAGATTCTCTTCTCAACTCATACGGTTTTTCGCGTCCTAAAAATCGAACAAATACAAGAGAATAGAATGGCCATATGGCAAGTTAAGCTTACACTCACCAATCAAAATGACGACAAACAGCTTAATACTCTTGCCCAACGACTGCGAGAGGAGATTGCTGGAACAGGATGGGAACGAATGGGTTCATTGTTATTGAAACTAGGCGAGAACGACAAAGCAGAACAAGTGTACACAATGTTACTCGAAAAAGCATCTAATGAGAGTGATCAAGCGCATTGTTACCACAGACTTGGGATGATGAAAGATAACCTAGGACAATACAATGAGGCCATCGAGTTTTACGAAAAAGCACGCGATATCTATGAGAAAACTTTTCCTTCGAATCATTCCAAGTTGGCTGGTTTTTGCAACAACATCGGTTTGGTGTATTCTCACATGGGCGAGTACTCGAAAGCACTTTCATCGTACGAAAGATCACTTGAAATCCGAAAAATAGTTCTCCCTTCGAATCATCCTGACTTGGCTGCTTCCCTTAACAGCATTGGTAGCGTGTGTAACACCATGGGCGAGTATTCGAAAGCACTTTCATCATACGAACGTTCACTTGAAATCAAGAAAATAGCTCTCCCTTCGAATCATCCGGACTTGGCTACCTCCTACAACAACATCGGTAATGTATACTCTAACATGGGCGAGTACTCGAAAGCACTTTCATGGTACGAGCGATCACTTGATATCCAGAGAATTGCTCTTCCTCCGAATCATATCGACTTAGCTGCTTCCTACAATAATATCGGTAATGCGTATAGAAACATGGGTGAGTATTCGAAAGCACTTTCATCACATGAACGATCTCTTGAAATCCGACAAAAAGCTCTTCCTCCGAATCATCCTGACTTAGCTTTTTCCTACAACAACATTGCTAGTGTATATAACAACATGGGTGAGTATTCAAAAGCACTCTCATTTCTCGAAAGAACACTTGGTATCTTCGAAAAATCACTGTCTCCAAATCATCCATATATTGCGGTAGTGAAAGGAAGTATTGACAAAGTAAAAAAGAAAATGTAATTTTTTTTAAACGAGAAAATAAAATGGCCTTCGTGGACATTTGGCTCGTCGAAGCGCACCAACTGCAAACTTTCACGCACGCGCGACCAGGGATGTCCTCCGTATTTCGTTGGATTGTACAGTGAACAAAGCCGGTAATGGTAGGCAAACATACATCTATATATGTATGATTAGTACATACATGATCATCATTGTCTCAATAAAGAGACAATAATGACGAGATAGACGCTTTATTCATACATACATAGATGTATGTTATGCAGGCCTTCCCTCTGCACGTCTGTATTGGTTACCAATAGAACGTCGAATATCCGTGAGGAAGTTACTTTGATTTAGAGCCGTTCTCCAAACCCCGTTTGTTGAGAATTTTTTTCTTCCGTTACGAAGACCGAGAAGCAGAAACGAAAAGACCAGAGAAGGACGACGTCGACGTTACGGATAGATGATACACAGTCTACGATAACATCCGATATGTGTGGGTGTGACCGTGGGTGTGTGGGTGTGTGGGTGTGGGGTGTGGGTGTGTGGGTGTGGGGTGTGGGTGTGTGGGTGTGGGGTGTGGGTGTGGGTGTGTGGGTGTGGGGTGTGGGTGTGGGTGTGTGGGTGTGTGGATGTGTGGGTGTGGGTGTGTGGGGTGTGGGTGTGGGGTGGCTGGGTGTGTGTGTATGGGTGTTGGTGTGGGTGTGGGTGTGGGTGTGG